GATCAGTTATTTGGCCGACAAAAAGAAAAATCAAAGAAACAAAAAGTAACACATCTAACGACGTAGATCAATATAAGAAATATACATATAAATGCGTATATGTATAATAATTGATTCATCTTTAATATTCTTAAATTGTGACCACTACAAACGTTTACAATGCGTAGACTTCATTACCTTCTAAGTCGCACATGCGTATTGCAATATATATATATATATTTTTTGTTTTACATACGTTCAGTGTCCGAGTCTAGCTCAAGTGTTTTGTTTTCATGATACATATATAGATCTTTAATATTATCTCTATAACTTCATAACTTGTAAGTGGTAGGATTTATATACTTATAAATATGTGTATGAATAGAGAGAAAGAGAGAGAAATTACTGTTTGCTAAGAACCCAGCAGCTCCAATGACCAATATGGATTTGTTATCAAGGTACTGAAGAACACTTACAACCTCCATGTCTGTCGACATAATTTATATTTTTGTATATATACGTTTTGAGTGAGAAAAAGGAACGAAGAGAGTATAACAACAAAATCACATGCATGGTTAGATTTATAACCCTAGCTTTACAAGGTGGAATTAATGTAAGCACCTACATTTTTTGTTCTGTCCCAACTACTTCAAAAATTAATTATAGCTGTCAACAATTCTCAGAAAATAGCCTTTTTTTTTTGGTTATGGTTTTCATTAAAAAAATATGGAAATGTTTTCCATCAAACTTGGATAGGCCTTACAAACATAAACAAGAAATTGTTTTCAACCCTCTCATATTTTTTCTGATCCAGTAATCTCTTTTAAAACAAGGGTTAATTTGCCCTATAACCAAATTGATTCAACTCCCAATTCTACGGAAAAATATATAACTTTTTTTTCTTGCATATGTCATATATATGTGTTTGGTTTTTTTTTTTTTAAAACAAAACCACAAGTTACTCGAAAATTGATATGTGATTCTAATTAAATGAGAACGCGTCTCTCGGTGTAGAAAACTTCGGACGAATTGCATTTTCCCACTAATATGACATTCTATATTATTTGAGTTTCTATGTGTGTTTCCGTTATTAAATCATCATACGTTAACTAGCCATAATTTTTGGTTATGCTATCTTGACCAATAAATATGGCTAATTAACGTATGATGATTTAATCACGGAAACGCACATAGAAACTCAAAATCCAATAACAATATTATCATACTGGTATATTAATCCATTTTTTTATTTTTAATATTTTGAAATATAAAAGACAAAAAGTTTGATGAAAAAAAAATAGCATTTGGAGCCAATTTCCGTCGGTAAATTTTTGTGTGTATATGTACGCTTATGCGAGAAAGAATCTGACAATGTACAGCAACAAAATCAAATGGAAGGTCCTAAGATTTCTAATTATAGGCTTAGAAGTGGAATCAATGTGAGCACCTACCAAAATTTTTAAGTCGCAACTACTTTGAATTAACTGTCAAGAAATGGCATATATAAAAACTCAAATAGATTGTAAATTCAAATTTGTTAGATATGAACTTCTTTAATCCAAACATTGTA